TGGGAGTACCAAACCATTGGAAGAGTTTATTGTAGTTCGTATGGAACCTGGACTAGTTCCTATAAGAACAAGCTGCTGTATTTATAGTTTTTAAAGTGAGCCTGTTCTCTAAAATCCCATGGCCTCCTGTTTTATGTAATTGTGTGACTGTTGTGTTAAAATGTACTTTGAGGTCTTTATTAAAGGCTGTACTGGTGGGTCTGCTAGAGCAGCCAGTCTGAGATATTTTGTCGTAACAACCGAAACCTGATGGTATAGACAGTGAGGCATAAGTACTTCACGTACTAGTACTGTGTGTTAATGCCTTTCTTGCTAGGTGTTTATTCTAGTTGCCCAGTGCTGGAGAGTAACTTGGTAAGCTATGCTATGTTCCTGACAGCTGTGATATCAATTATTTTGTAAGCCCGCAAAGTATTTTATGCTATTAAACTTTCCAACACCTATAGCTCTCAGTAGTATGTCAAATAGAGAATTTTCTTGAATTAGCAGGGCACTGAGGAGGAGAAGGAAGCAGGGGTTTCATTGTTAACATGATTATGATAAGCTACTACAAATAAGAATATTGGTATGGGTTGATTAGTCTCAGGCTAAAAAAATTAAACTTGTTATTGAAGGTCATAATGACATTACTTTATCACTGTGTCCTAGACAAGCCTAACTGCTCTGTGTTTCTGTGCAGCTTTGACCATTGTACATAGCTTCTGTTACTAAATTGCTTTGTTCGTCTTTCTTTTTCCCAGTTGTTTGTGTTTTCCTTAATCTTTCATGTTAGAAGATTATTCCAGCTGTTAATTTTTGGCCAAGTGCCCCTGGTTAGTACTTGGGAAAAAAATTGAACACACATTGGAAGTGCCGATAACAGAGTTAGATTTCTTTGATCTTGACCTTCATCAAGGGTTTTCTGGTGGTTTGTTACTAGACACTTTCCTCAACCCTCTGTGTTTTGTTTTTAGTATCTGTCTTCCATAATTGAACAGAGCACATAAAGAAGTCTTCTAAGCATGTCTCAGAAGGTGATAGTCTTGATGTTTAATCAGCCTTGCACAATTAGTAGAGCTCTCTCTTGGTCAAAGCATATACATTTTTTTAAACATTGTTGGATTCAGTTTCTTCACATTTTGCTGGGAGTTTTTGCATTTATAATTATGGAAAGGATTTATTCATAGTTTTTAAGTTAACAGTGTTGCCTGACTTGAGTATTAACGGTAACACTGGAAGTGTTGATAAGATAGGAGGCATTCTCCCTGCTTCTGTCTTTTGCAAATGATTGTGGAGAATTGCTGTAATTTTTCCTTAAATGTTTTGCAGAATTCGCTTATAAATTCAATTGGGCTGATACTTTGTGGTTTGAAAGATTATTAACTTTCTTGGTTTAATTTCCTTAATACATAGCCTTTTGGATTATCTGTTTTCTTACCTGGGCATATACCTTGAAACAAGTTGGCTTGCTTCATCCAAGGATCAAATTAGTGGGCATAGAGTTTGTAATATTTATTTTGTAATATTCATGAAATTCTTTCTGATTCCTAGTATACCTTGTATTTTTCTTCCAGTTAACTTCCCTAGATGTATATTGTTTGCTGATCTTCAACAGTTGTAGTAATGTTTGTAAAACTTGCTTTTCTGTTTTGTCAGCTTGCTTTGTATTTCATTTGTTTGGAGGCTGTCTTAGTCATTGTTCTATTGCTGTGAGATGCAGTACCAAGGCAATTCTTATAAAAGAAAGCATTTAATTGGGGGCTTGCTTACAACTTTAGAGGGATTTTCATTCCTAGAACCTCATGAACCAGGTGTGGTGATGCACTGGTAACCCCAGCACTGAGAAGTAGAGAAAAGCAGATCAGAAATTCAGGGTCATCCTCGCTACATTGTGAGTCCAAGGCAGCTTGGGCTACATGAGATCATATCTGAAAATAAAAACCTTAAAACAAGAACAAACAACAACAGTAACAAGACATAATAATAATAATTAAAAAACAACCAAATTAGGGCCAGTGAGATGGCTTAGTGGTAATGGTGTTTGCATGACTTGAGTTTGATCTCAAGTATCTACATGGTGTTAGCTTAGAACTGACTCTGTAAATTGTGCTCTGATTTCTCATATACATATGTGTGCACATAAACACATAAACAAATTAATAAAAAGAAGTGTATTATCTCCATGTATTTAAGAATTTTTTTAGTTATTGCTTACTTCATTAATTCTTTAGTGGCCTGAAAGTAAACACTATATGGTTTGCATTTATAGTACTTGTCTTAGTGTATATTATGGTTTGAATGCAGTCTATATTGGTGAATTTGCACATGGACTAGAGAAGAGTGTGTTTTCTATTATTGCAAAAAGTAGTTCATTGATGTTAGGGTGAATGGCCAGTGGGCCCTAGAGACCCATTTACCTCTGTCTCCTCAGTATTGGGAGTATAATGATGTACCATCATGCCTAGCTACTTCTGCTTTTGTTGCTGTTGCTTCTTTCTCCTCTTCTGATAATATGATTATGATTATTATGGTTATTATTATTTTGGTTTTTCTAGGCAGTTTCTCTGTTTAATAGCCCTGGCTGTCCTGGAACTAGCTCTCTAGACGAGACTGGCCTTAAACTTACAGAAATCCACCTTTGTCTCCTGAGTGCTGGGATTAAAGGTTTACACTACCACTGCCTGGCTATTATCATCATCATCATTATTATTATTATTATTATTATTATTATTTAAGTGTATATACTGGGGATCAAACTCAAGTTCTCATGAATGCATGTCAAACAACTTTATTGACTGAGAAATTTCATTAACCTCTTGTCTATGATTTTCATGTTTAATATCCATTTTTATTCTTTCCTAGAATTTTTATCTGGTTGCACTGTCTGTGGTTCTTGTAGACAGTTCTTGCATATTAGTCATAGTTTCAAAATTCTTAACTCCAGTATTCTGTCGTCTATTAGTCAGAAGCTTGATTTGTTTTTCAGATTGCTTTTGTCTTTTAGTTTGATTTGTAAATTTTTGCTAAAATTCCAACATTGTTTACTGGAGAATAGGAACCCATGCTAGTTCTTTAGTGGCTTTTACATAGGCGTGAGCAATGTATCAGAGAGGCGTGGCAACATGGTGATTACATTGATGAGCCTGTGCCTCTGGACCATGAACTTCACAAATGCTTGCTAGTGTTTCCCCATCATGTAAGGCAGTGTGACTAGGGTGAACTGTAGTTGGGTGCTCCTCTTCCTTCAGGTGAAAAGCTTGAGGAAGGTAGAGTTGGGATGTTTCCTACCTCAAGTGAATTTATCTCTGGTTAAACTAATTTGGTTACATGATAAAATGTAGACCTTAATTATTCAAAGAAGAGGCTGTAATAAGAACCGAGTTCTCTGGGGTCTTTGAAAATTGTTTCATTTTTCCTCCTGACATTTCTTTTGTACATTCACTTTGCACCTAGTGTAATTCTTACAGCAAAAACTTATTTTGTGTGTGGATCCTCGTGATTTCACCCCTGGAGTTTAAACTTGGGTACTTGTCCTCACTGAGCTCTTCCAGCCTGTCACTTAGGTTTGGGTCCTCCCCCTTGTCATTGGTTCCTATGGAGATGACTGTGCTAGGTTGAAATTTTTTCCTTTTGCTTCTCTGTATAGTTTTTGGGTCAATATTTGGTGAGGGATCTAAAAAGAGTTAGATTTTCAATGTATTCAGCTTTTTGTTTGTTGGGTTGGAGAGATGACATCGTTTCTCCTTACATGCTGAACCAAGAATTAATACTTACTTTATTTTTATGCCGTCTCTACTATTCTCATGTCTACTAGTCCAGAAAAGCCTTGTTTGATCTCCAGAAAGCAAACATTCATTCTTTGTTCCATGAGGAGATGTAGTTGCTAGGAACCTTGAGTAAGGAAGGCAGTTAGTGACCAGACTCCATTTCAAAAGGCTGCTATTCATTCTTCTTTTTAAATGATCTTTTCTCTTTTTGCATACCTATCCCAGTTCTAGTCATTCCTCTTAAAGCTTTATTTTTTTCTCTTGAGACAGGGTCTTACCTATCTGACGGCCTGGTACTTCCTGTGTAGACCAGGCTGACTTCGAATGCAGAAATCACCTACATCTGCCTGCTAAGTGTTGGGATTAAAGCTGGCATTCATTCCTTTTAAATCTTCTTTGCTCACGTTCATTTCTAGAGCTTCTTGATGTTGCCAGTTTTTGAACTTGTAACGCAGTAGTATAAACCAGCCTTGTTCTTCAGACTTTATTATTCCTATTTTGATTCTCCTTTTTTGTGTCTTCTTCATAGGTTACCCTGTATATCTGTATTTCTAGAATATGTTTGCTGCCAAAAGCTTGCTGTGTTTATATTGCCCTTGTTTTTAAAAATTAATCTCCTGCCTCTGTTAATGTCTTTAATATATCAAGTTTTAAATTTAGTTTTACTGCGTGTGTGTATGCATGTACATGTGTGCACAGGGCAAATTTCAAGAGTCACTTCTCTCTTTCCAGTGTAGAATCCAGACATCAAACTCAAGTGTGGCATGTGCTTCGCCCATTGAGCTATCTTATCTTATAGGAAAAATAGTAAAAACTTGATTTTTTTTTTTGGAACCTTCTTTCCTCTCCATTTTGACAAAGCCAAATCAACAAATGTAGCTAAATAACTTAATTACATGAAGTATTTTCATAGAGATGAGTGCTTAGTCCCTGTCCCTTTTATTGCCAAGTAAAGCTAAAACTTTTTTGAAAATGTATTTCTTTACTTTGTCTGTTTGCAGGTAGGTATAGATTGGAATGGAGAAAAATCAATGGCTTACATATGATGCCAAAAGCAAATGAAGTGTGAATAGGGAAGATTGTGATAGATTGAACTTGCCTTTTTGAAAGCTGGACATCGAAGTCTGATTAATCATAGTGCTGGCAACTGTTTGGGTTTGGTGTTGAGACTTGATTAAATTTGATGATTTGAATGTGATAATATGTTATAAAAATTTTACATTAATGTTTCTGTAATTCTTTTATAATCTACAGAGAAAGCAACTAGTGAGATGAATACTGCTGAGGACTGGGGCCTCATCTTGGATATTTGTGATAAGGTTGGCCAATCTCGCACTGGGTGAGTTTCAAACATTCAAGAGTTTTTGTTCATCCTTCTAATAATTAAGACAAATTAGAAAAGCAAAGCATATCACAATTCTGAATTAGTTTAAAAGGATTTGAAGACTTGTCCTATTAGTTTACCTTATTGTGGTTAGAATGCAAAATTACCCCTCTTAGTCTCCTATGTTTGAAATTTGGTCTCCAGAAGGTGGTGCTGTGTGGGACTCTTGTAGAACCTCTAGGTGGAACCCTGTTGGAGGAATGAGTCACTGGGAATGTGCCTTCAGGGATTATTGTGGCCCTGCATCCTGTGCCCTCTGCTTCCTGAAGTCAGATATGATCAGCTGCCTCTTGTTTCTTTCATTATGTCTTCCACACCAAAGTGAACAATAGCCTTTCTCAAACTGTAACCAAAATAAGCCCTTAAATTGCTTCTGGTGTGGAAATGGTTTTGGCCATGAGAAAAGCAACATGTATGTAACAACTAGACAACTTTGAGGAATGAGTTCTCTCCGTCCACCTTTACATGGGTTTCTGGGACTGAACTTAGTTCCTTAGGTTTGCATGACAACACTTTTACCCATTGAGCTGTCTTCCTAGCCCTCTACTTCTTTCATCTTTATCTTTATATTACTGTATTAAGACTGTGTCTGCTGGGCAGTGGTGGTGCACACTTTTAATCCCTTCATTCAGCCCCCAGCAGATGAATACTGCTGAGGACTGGGGCCTCATCCTTGATATTTGTGATAAGATTACCCAATCTTATCACAAAACAAACAAGAACAAAACAGAGACAAAAACAAATCTTATTTGTATATTTTAGTAATTTATGTAGTAAATTTGTTTGGTGCATTTGTAGATTGAATTGTTTGCTTTTTTTCTGTATAGAGGAAAGAAACAGGTAACTCAGTGGTTGAAAGCGTGGACCCTGAAAGGACTCTGGGTTCAGATTCTGGTTCTGTCAAAGTACTTGGCACTTGGTTAAGTGTACACTTTAGTGTTAAAGTCCTATCTGGTGTTTGTCCACTTAGGACTGGATACCAAACAAGATTGGTCTGGTGTATTTTAAAAGTACAGCTTTATCTACTGTCAGCAGTTATGAAGTCTGTTCTTCTCACTGTTTTTCATTTTTTTCTTTACTTTAGTGTTCTTTTTTTCTGTCAGTTCCTTTTAAAAAATTTGGCCAAGTGTCTAAAATCACAAACACACATTTTCTTTCATTACTAGAAATGTTTCCTATTTTTCTAGTTAAAAATCAACGTGAAATTTTGTGTGGTGTCTAATGATGGAGAAATTATGTCATTTTTTCATTGTATTAACATTGTACCAGCCATATTCATTATACATTTTTTCTTATATATCTGAAATTTACTAATTTCTTTAGCTGTAAGAATGTTTTTATCTGCATTTTGTTTTATTCAGCACCAGTAGTTTAGGTACATGCTATTTAAAAAAAAAAATCCACATGTTTTTCCCCCAGGGTATACTTAGCATTTGAGTTATTGTTTGGGAATTTGAATTCGTTATACTAAATCTAGGAATTTATTTAGGAAATAATTCCATCTTACTCAGGAATGGTTTTCTTATTCATCTGCTCTTATTCATTTGTGATTTTTCTCCTCCCTTCTTTCCCTTCTTTTTTTCCTCCTCCACTCCCCAAAGAATTGCTGGTCTCTAGTTCTTCTAAGCCAGTGGTTTTCAACCTTCCTAATGCTGCACCCCTTTAATACAGTTCTTCATGGTGTGGTGACCCCGACCATCAAATTATTTTCATTGCTACTTCACAACTGTAATTTTGCTGCCATTAAGAATCATAATGTAAATAGCCACTATTCATAATATCTGCTGTCCGACCCCCAAAGGGATCATGACTCACAGGTGGAGGATCACTGTAAACCATCATTATTTTCTAAGCATTTATTTGCTTACATTCATGAGGCATCTTGCTAGAGCCTTTACTAATGGTTTGGAAATCTAAATAGTAATGGAGGAACTGTTTTGATATTATTGAGGTTTAAAAGTCATGTGTGATATCTTCCCTGGCTCAAGTAAGACTTTTTTAGGAACCAGAATTGATGGCCCATCCTTGTAATCCCAGTACTCAGTAGGCAGAGGCAGAAAGATTGATGGGCATTCATAGCTAGATTGTGCTACATAAAGAACTCTGGGTCTGCCTGGCTTGCACAATGATAAATGAATGAGTGAATGAATGTATGTGTATATGTTTTGTATTTATGTACATACATGTGTTTCTGCTTTATTGCAGTATCTCAATATTTTCATTACAGAAAATGAAAAGCATAGAGTGCCATTCAGACTTCGCTGGCCCTAAGGCAGTTTTGCTTTTTCTTAAGATATTTATTTATTATGTATACAATATTCTGTCTGTGTGTCTGCCTACAGGCCAGAAGAGGGCATCAGATCTCATTTCAGATGGCTGTGAGCCACCATGTGGTTGCTGGGAATTGAACTCAGGACCTTTGGAAGAGCAGGCAATGCTCTTAACCGCTGAGCCATCTCTCCAACCCTGGCAGTTTTGCTTTTATGGGATACTTTCTCCATTAAAAAAAAAAAAATAAAGGCAGCATTTTATCATTGAATTGTTATGAAGAAATTTTCATATGTTTAGCCATTTTAATATAAAGATTCTTCTTTTTAAATCCTTAAAAGATTTTTAACATTTTTGTGTGCCTCTAGAATTACTGTGAGCCAGAGATGCCATGTGTCTACAAGACCAAAGGATTAGCATTATAGGAATATTATAGGTTCCCAGATCAAGTCTGTAATAGAAAACTGTTAAGCTTCTTTTTAAAATGAGAGTTTGATTTGTGTGTTGTTTATACTTATGTGAGGTATGGTCCTGCTCTCTCACTGTCGTATTCTTTTGCCACAGTGTCTTTCATAGCAGGTGCTCCTAGCTGCTGGGCTAGCCCTCTCTCCCATTAAGTTTTTTTAAGAGAACAGTGAGCTCAAATACTGTGTGACCTTGTGCTCTTCATCCTCCTGCCTTCCTCCTCAACCTCAAGTCCTGGGCTTGTCAGCACATATCAGCACACCTGTCTACCAGAGAAAGAGTGATCAATCTCACTTCCATCCCATTTCTTATACTCATCTTCTTTAGGTAAAAAGATTTTAGTCTATATTTTTCATTGTATCTTTACAGAAATATGATTGTATGTTCTCCGCTCATATATAATAAGGCATTGTATACACTGTTTTGTAAATGCTGCTTTGTACTTAGTACACAATACCTTAATATAGCCAGTCACTCTTAGAAATGTATTTTTCTAATGTTTATTAGTATTGGATTAAATAAAAACATAATTTAACATCAATTTTAGTTATAAACAATATTTTAAAAAGTTCAATCACTGATGAATAATCTTTAGTATTTTTATCAGCCTTGAAAAACTACTCATGTTCTCCCTACTTAGATAGGTTATGTGGCTTTTATAAAGATAAGACCAAACTATTTGATTGTATTAAACATAAAATCTGATGATTTGAAAAATACTTCAAATTTCTCAAGATACTCACATGTTTTTCAGTGTGCAGTCCCAGTCTGTGAGTCAGTGGTGAAGAATGCCAGCTAGGTCATATGATGAACTAAACAGCCTTTGTTTAGAAGTCAAATGAAATTTCAGAATGACATCAGTTTTCTTTAAAATGTCTTCTTAAATAGCTTCTTCTGTGTTAGTTTTATTAGTTGTTCATGTAATAGATGTGGAGGTTGGAATTTGTCTTAATTGGGGTTTCTGTTGTTCTGATAAAACACAGTGACCAAAAGCAGCTCTGGGAAGAATGGGTTTATTTTGCTATCACCTCCACATCACAGTCTTTCACTGAAAAAAGTCAGGGCAGGAATTCAAACAGGGATGGAACCTGGAGGCAGGAAGTGAGGCAGATGTCATGGAGGACTGCTGCTTGCTGGCTTGCTTTCTTTCAATATGCAGGACCATGTGCTCAGAGGTGACCCCAATGACAGTAATCTGGGCCTTCCCATATTAATCGTCAATTAAAAAAAAAATGTGTGCTTGCTTTGGCAGCACATAATACTAAAATTGAAGCGATACAAAGAAGAAAATGCACCACAGGCTTTCTCAGAGACCAGTCTGGTGGTGACATTGCAGTGAGGCTCCTTCTCCAGTGACTCTAGCTTGTGTCAAGTGGTCATAAAAATTGGAGAACACAGTATTGATTATTCACATTAGTTGAAGTTGTATAGTTGATTCTGGAATAATTGGTGCTGTTTTGTTTGTTAATTATTTCCCTTTAGTTAATAGAGAAATTGGAAAACATGATGTCATTTTTTTTTTTAGTTAGTTAAGGATATACTTATCTGTTAAGTCAATCTTAACATTTCTGAAACAGAATGAAAAGGTAAAATATTAGCCATTTTAGCTGATATTTTGTGAGAAATAAAAATGTAAATTCTTGCAAATTTATTAATATATTGAGTAAATGCCTAGGTACTTGAATGTGTTCCTAAACATAGGCTGTATTTAACTTTGTAAGAAGTCATCACACCATCTCTAGTCACTGTATTGTTTCATCTTTTACATTGAGGTCTTTGGTCATTTATTGCAGTATTTATGAAGCACTATGAGGAATTGTTCTAACTTTACCTTTCTCCATTCAGCATCCACAGTGCAGATAGTTTCCGAACACAGCAGTACCATTACTGAATAATCCTATTTTATATCCTTCTGATTTAAAATACTACCTTCCTATAGTATATTCAATCTGTGTTTAGGTATATTTTTAAGTCTTTTCTTTTGTCTCATTGATACTGTGTGTGCTATGTGTGTATTACTTATGGATTTAATTGTAAAGCTTTGTGGTATGTTTTAATACTTGTTAAGACTAGTATTCTTCATTGCTTTCTTTGCTTAATTTTTAAAATTTTAATTAAAATATAATTGCATCATTTTCTCCTTTCCCTTTTCTTCTTCCAACCCCTGTCATGTTCCCAAATTGTGGTCTATTTTTCTTTCATTGTTGTTGTTTTACATGCGC